CGCCCCCAAGGCACTTAATCCGGCGAAAAGGGGGATCAAGGGTAGGAATCCCCCAGATTTTCCTTCGATCGGAATTATTCTCGGTAGTCGAACTTTATGTTTTCCACCTGCACTCTTCACCGCTAATCTTGCCGCTTTAAGAGCAACCAATGCAGACTTTTTTAATGTCGTGGTGGTGGGAGCATTTTTCTTCAAGGACTTTGTGATTTTCGTGAGAACACCTCGTCGAAAAGATGATTTCTTCTGCCCCATACCCAATTTTCGCTTAACTTTCATTGCGGTAGTTGTTAGCCAAGCTGCAGTCTTTTCTCCTAGTGAAGCGTCAGGTGCTTTTACACGTTCCCAGGCTCGGTTCTCAAGAATCCAATCAGCTTTGTGTCTGTCTTTCAAATTTTTGTATAAGGCGTATGCAATATCGTGGTCTCTTGCAGCACGATCCAATGGGTTCTTTCCAGGATCTCCTCGTGCTAACCTCTTCTTTAATTTAGTCCCCGCTGAAAATATACATATACATGTGTGAGAATGAAAAAAAAAATATCCTAATCTGTCGCACACTTACGTCCCAGGAACTGATACGAAGGTACGTGGAGTTCTATCGGAAGATTATTTATCAGAGAGTTTACAACACCTTCACCCTTGTACGTTAACATGAGAACTGTTGATGATGCGTTAGCAATATCTACATATATACTTTTACACATTCCTTATTCGAACGCCACACGATGAAGGTTGTTCAACAAGAGCAGTCATTACCCATTGATAACTTGGATTTTACAGCAAAAACTCAACATAGTAAACATGGTAAATTGTTACCGAATTCGTTTCGCGCTATCATCTGCGGACCAAGCGGATGTGGAAAAACGAACGTAATGCTGGCGCTGCTTTTCCATCCAAACGGTGCTAAGTTTAAAAATGTTTACGTTTATTCAAAATCGTTGTATCAACCAAAGTATCAACTGCTTCAAGAAGTGATTTCCGCTGCTAAGGGTGTTGGCTATTTCCCATTTAAGGATAACGAGGAAATTATAAGTCCAAGTAAGGCTAAAAATAGCTCTATATTCATATTTGACGACGTGTCGTGTGACGGTCAGCAGAAAATTCGAGAGTATTACTCCATGTGTCGTCATAAAGATATCGATGCTGCATATCTCTGCCAAACATACTCTAAAATTCCAAAACAGCTCATACGAGACAACTGTAACATTATAGTACTATTTAAGCAGGATGAAATTAATCTAAAACATATATTTGATGAGCATGTATCTCCAGATGTTACTTTTGATGAATTCAAAAAGATGTGTTCGGAATGTTGGGCAGAAAAGTACGGTACGTTAGTTATTGTTAAAGACTTTCCTCTTAATTATGGTCGATACAGAGTAGGATTTGATAAGTACATAAAATTGTAGGCTTATCATGTACGCCATCATTCAGTAACATGATGTCAAAGGACCAAGTTGCCGTTGCTAGTCATAAAAGAAAGATCGCAGAACTTGCTCGAGCTATAGGTAAAAAGTATCTTACTTTAAAGTTAGGTCGAACTGCAGAAGATGAATCTATTAGAAAACTTTTCAAACCAATATCTGAACCTCTTAAGCAAATAGCTAAGACTCAGCAGTATCCTTCATTTAGTATTAAAAAAGAGGGAAAATTGAAACAGGATGATGATGATGATGATGATGTATTCACACAGAACCCAAACTATCTCAATTTAGAAGACGTGGCTTCAACTGATGAACAAGGTAATATACCGCCGAGACCTGAAACACCACCACTACCTGAAGAAATGCGTCCTGCTGATTTTTCACAAGAAGCAATAGAAGAATACTTAGATCAATATCCCCCAATAAGCCATAATTATTTACAAGATTTTTGGACACAAAACGATAAAATTGATAAAAATTATGGACCTATATATACCGACAACATTGGTTGGATGTTAGGTAAACGCCGAATTAAATTTGATAGAGCGACTGGCCAAATACAGATATTACCTGAGGGGACAAACTTAGCAGGTACATGGTTTCGTGGCACACCTGGGCTGTATCAACTTTTATTCTATAATGACCCAAACTATGCAGATGCAGATTTACAACCCTATAAAAATCTATTGCAAAGTACCGGTGTTCATTTAGATTCGCTTGGACGCCTAAAAGGTTCGACAGGATTTAAATATAATCACATTATTAAGCCTCTCTTTAAAGATGTGCAGAAAAATAAAGGTACAATTGTCACACGATCAACATCTACAAAAATACGTAGTCCACTTAGTCGATCATTAACAAGATCCACTCCCTCAACAACAACAACAACAACAACAACAACAACATCATCAACATCAAAACCGCCAGACAGGTGCGACATCGGCGCCATCTATGCGCGAGATGCCCAACCCATCAATGGCAGCTGTCCAATGACACATAGATTCCGTTTGGTTTGTACAGCGCCAAACAAATCGGCGCCATCTATGCGCGAGATGCCCAACCCATCAATGACAGGTGTCCAATGACGTATGACAGATGACGTGTAACGCCATCTATGCGTGAGATGCCCAATGACGCATGACAGGTGTCCAATGACACACAGATTCCGTTTGGTTTGACAGCGCCATCTAGCGGCGGAATCCCCAACTCATGAATTTCGATTACAGATTCCGTCCAACAACCTGTCAATGGCGCGCGACGCCAGCGCCTCTGGTGGCGGATTTTGGAAGTTTTGAGACCGAATCCCCATAAGACATCTACTGATGGTTAATCGGTGCAGTCTCTGAGATTTTTGTCTCCGCCTAGAAAAGCACGGCGGGACGATTGGATTCCAGGTAGTGATGAACAGCATCAATGTTGCTGTTAATCCCGCAGATGTTCGAAAAACAAATTTTATCTTCGATGTTGTTCCCTCGAGCCCACCCTCCACCCGGACATTCCGAGAGTGGAGTGAGTTTACGTCCGGAGTTTTTAGTGCTCGAGGGATCCATCATCATTAATTTCTTTGTTTTGGTAGATAACCGACTGCATAGCTTAGGTGTGGAAACATGCGGATATTTATAAGACACCCTGGGAAAAGCTAGAGGGTGGTACTGCCTCGGTCGACTGGTCCTTGTCTACCACCTTCTTTTTACGTGTTAGTGATGTTAAATAGACCTAAAGTGGCCCGTTGGCGGACTTGTACCGCCACCCGGCAATCGGTACTGAGGTATTCCTTAACGCGCGCACAATCACTTGGACGGGAAGAAGTTGTATACTGGATACAACAACTTCCGGAACAAGCATTTGCCACGGCCCTCGCTCAGTAGGGGGGAGAGGACAGCAGTGGAAAAATAACATTTATCTTTCGGAATGGTTTGTAATTCATATCAGCAAGGTAAATTAGTGTATTTTGCGGTAAAATGCTCTTTGACCTAATCCTGTATATAGCTCAATAAACTAGTAGTGATGTCCGGAAAACAGGTGTTTTGGGATAAAAGATTAGAAATTTTCAAAAAACTACTTGACCATTATACTCCAATTTTCCTGTTGTTATTCAGAAGTATGAGTCCTGCGGATTTGAAGAATTTCAGGTAGTTGCGTAAAACTATCGTCGCATTACCAACAAGTACCAAAACCTGCATTTTGCCTGGTTTTTCGGCCATAACATTTTTGTTATTAGTCGGATCTTTTCACGTGTGGTCTCATTCATAAATACTTAAAAATCTTACATAAAAAGTTTGTTCGTTCCTTTCAACACTTTCGATTGAATCCCAAAAAACACGTTTTCTCATTCTTTGTTGTCAAATAAAACTTTTTCCCACAACAATTGGTGTAACCATTTTATGCGTCCATGTTTAAAATGCGCCCTTGAACAACTTGCACCAATAAAACCGGACTTTGCAATTATTTCAGGGAAATTTGCTAATACGATTAGGATTAGACTATATGTTAGATGAAAGTCTACATTGGAAATATACATTTATGAGATTTGCTTAGCGGTGCGCCGTAGCCTGTCCAGAAAACGCGTCGATCGATGATCAAAGTCAATATCACACGTCCCGCATTTCTTTCCGCGTATGTTTCTATTTATGTTGCTATATTGAAATTCGTTTAAGTCGCACAGCTTCTGCACTACACGTGAAATATGTACAGCCCTGTATTCCTGTTCTTGTTTCGTACAAACATACATTATCAAAATAATTACGATCTAACATATATAGTTTTTCCAAAGATTTCCAACATTTTTACATGCGATCAACACCGATTCGAAAACTGAGAAAGCAACAACTATGCCGTACATGTAACTTCGACAATGAAAGTCTGAACAACGGCTGTAACATCTATATTGAATTTCAAAAAATAATTGACTATACTTATTGATATTTTTATCGCCTGCTGATATAATAGAAGTGCTTGATTGTGTCAGTATTTAAACCAATTACTTGATTTGTTAAACGGGTAGTTCAGAGTATTAATCCTTAAGCTTAGTACACACTAGTAGACCCCGTTGCGCAATTTGTCTATAGGCAGTCTGGAGACGGTCTCAAGACACGATCTATAGACATCATTCTTTGTCTCGTCTAGCGTCCATAGGATAATGTTTGTGTATTTTTCGGTCTCATGTTCGATTTCGCCATCAAAGACATTGTTTTGTGTGGAATGGCTGGGATATGTCTCGGGGTCCCTCAAAATGTCTTTTTTGGTTAACCCTTTACTGCATGAATTTTTTGTTTTCATCGAAAAAAATCTCAGGAATATACTTTATTTATGTAAAAAATACCAAAAAAAATTTTGTATAATACATACTTTATTTATTTTGAAAAAAATGGAAAGTGACATATATGGAAAATTATGCAACAACATTGTCCTTTATTCAGTGTGGAACCTCAAAAAACAATTTCGCTCTTTATTAAAACACAAGGAAACTTTGCATTTCGTACAAGACACAAAGGATTTAGATTGACACAATGGAAACTTGCATCTTGATCTTTGTTGTTCACTCCATTCTGGTAAATGGTCCATACCATCAAGACGTACCTCTTGTTGAGGAATTTCTTTGGTAGGTCCACGTTTCTTTTTCATTCTGATCCTGATTACCTCTAAATTGAATTTCGTTTTTCAATAGATTACCTTCGTGCCATTCAATATTCTTCGATATTCGTCTTTGAATTTCTGATAGGGGCAAATCATCATCAGATGAATAGTCGGACTCTGAATCTGGATCATTTTGGTTGGTTTGTATTTTTGAATGTACACCACTTTCAGCATCGTCGCCACATAAATCTGGATCGTCACTCTCATCGGACTCTATATCAGCTGCATATTGTAGAGTACCATAAAATTTCTTTGGGTCCATAACTGGAAATAAAAGCAACCAATGTAAATATAATTGCATATTGTTCCATATATGGCACAAGCACAAAATCGTACACATAACTTCCTAAATTAACATCAAATGAAAAACAACTTACCTTATAACATAGTGTACACTTCACCCGTAATGTCAATAATTTTATTTTGGGGATTTTCTAATTTTAGAAGACAAAAAACTTGCAAACAAAACGGATCCATCAGCTGCTAGCAAGAAATGGCGCGCGGCAGGCTCTGACACGAAATAACTCGTAATTGAGCACTACTATCGATGTGTGCGTTTTGCTGTGTGTAAGTGGGTGCGTTAAAATATGGCATAGTATGCAGTAAAGGAATACAACTTAATTTGAGACAATATTTTTTTTATTTTTGTAGTTTGGGTCATATCTGGCACATGATGCGGTAAAGGGTTAACAGAGTAATGAAGTTTTTTATGTCTATGTCTTTAATAATATTACACTATCAATTATAAATGCTACGTAATTCTTTTGTTCTTGTATAATAAAATATTGTCTTTCTGAGGATTTCTGAGCATTTTCCACATTTGTTTTTCAAGTTGGTATTGAACAGATAGAATACAATGGATTTAAGGAGCAATAATAGGATAAATTCTAGTTCTACTGAGATCGAAAAATTACCAGCCCCCCTAGACGAAATCTTGGATCCGCCCTTGACTTTATTGTATAGTTTAATCACAGATATGTAGGTACTTTTTTTGTTAATTTTTGACTATTTTAAATCTATACAGTATAGCAATGTTCAAGAGTGAAACAGAATAAATTACTTATTTCAATTAGTGCTCATTTGTGACGCGAGACTTAACATCTTATTGCGCGGAAGTTTTTGTCAATAAATTCTAGCAACCCGAGTGTGTGCTGCGACCCCAGATTCTTTTATAATCAAAATCGACCTGTTTCAAGGTTTTTGTGTCAAGGAATCTACGCCATTTGGTGGTACCACACCACATTTTTACTTCTTACGCCACTGGGCGAGGAAGTATTGTAATCGCGAAAAACTTCGGAAATAAAGTTTGTTTTTGGATGTTATATGAAATGTATATCAGGAAAAGCTGTCGGTATGTCTGTCTGCTAATAATTGACTTTTCTGTAATCTGGGAAGTACTGGTCGGATTTTGACGAAATTTACATACATAGATACTTGGCTACTACTATTGCAAGGACGAAAAAGCTTCGTAGTTTTTGTAAAAACGGTCCAGTTTCGGCGGAATGGGGGTAAAAAAAGAAAAAATAGAAGTCGCTCAAATTTCGTTTTTTGGTATTTCAAAGGCTCCTGATCATTTTCGAACGGATTTTTGTAGAGGTTGCAAACTGGGGGTTGTAAACTACATAACTATACGCCTTTAGTATTAGTCAAAAACGTATATCAAGTAGTTTCTATATCCCGATAATAACGAGAAAATTAAATGACAAAAGCCCGATGTATAATGTGCTCATAATTCGAAATAACTTGCAATAGTTGGAGTCCACTGCCGACCGTGGCAAGCACAATAGGTAACTAACTCCAACTGGTGTACTGCGGCGATGTCGACACACACCGCTATAGGAGAATAATAATAATGCTTATTGGTCCAATTACAAAGTTTTCGTATGAATAATAACGGCAGTGTCCAATAAACATAATATATCCAAAAAAGGGTTTTAAGCGAAGTTGAATTATATTAATGCAACAAATTTCATATAAGTATACAAATGTATAAACTTGCATTATTTTATTATCAATAATAACATAGGTTTTTAGTGTCTACAAACTTATGGATTTGTAGCCTTGGTTGATTTAGGATCCATAATTTTAATTCATTTTTTAAACGTTTCCTACATTTTATATGTTTAAAGTTTGCAGGAATAACATTATAAAATTTTGAGCATAGAAAATAGAATGAGTTTTGGCTGATAGTTTTATTTAGCCTAGGAATTAGTGCAGAGATTTCCTTGAGTCGGGTTTGATGATTGTGGCTAACAGAATGTAACAATTTTGGATTTTTTGTTAAATATATTATTGTATGATAAAAATAAATTTGCCGGCAGTCGAACAGCTGAGATTAATTGTAAAGATTTTCTGTGGGATAACATTTCCTTTTGTTCATCATAACTTTCAAAATCCACTTCTGCGTAATTTTCAATCTTTTTATAATAATTATTCATGACTCCGCCCCCCCCATGCTAAGATTCCATAAGATACCGTAGTAACGATTGAACAAGGGCATGATATATCATGTATACATATTTTTCGCTTAGAAAACTGCTGAAGTATTTTTTTCGGAATAAGGTATCTTAATTTTGTTATTAAATTTTCAACATGTATATTCCATCTTAGATGGTTATCTATGAATACCTCTAGGTATTTAAAATTATCAACCGATTGTATGTATGTTTTTGCAGCTATTCAAGATTTTAATTTGGAGTTGATTAAAATTTGGGGAATATCTGTTGTCGCAAGAAAATATAATAAAGGATGTTTTGTTGAAATTGACTGTTAAAATCCTTTTCGTGAAAATGTTCTTAACAAATCAGCAATTTTTCCATCGTTTTTTAACTTAGAAAGGTCATTGATATGTAAATTAAACAGCATTGATCCCTTTCCAGATTACCCCAGGTAGAAAGCAGACGTGTGTGTTGTTACTCCACAGTTAGCGCGGTTTCACACACACCGATATTATCGGTGTCGTTATCGGAATCGGTATCGGAGAGTGCTTTCTTACACACCGATAAAAAAGTAAAACTTTGCGCCGTCTTTCATAAAAGGCCAGGGATCAGTGCGGTGTGTGTAGCGTCTCGGAACAGTTTATTATTTAATATGAACAAAAAAGCTGTGTTTTTATTATATTTGCTGTATTTGCGAAAAAAGAAGTGTCGAGAAAAAAGACGAAGACGATATTGGGTCCATCCCATATTATCTCAAAAATATGTAGAAGGAGCATTTTATACAATGTTTGAAAAACTTCGCGAGCATGATGAAAAGTTTTTTAACTACTTCAGAATGAGCACAGCTACATTTGACTACTTACTAGAAAAGTTATCATGTAGCTTACAAAGACAAGATACTCAAATGAGATTATGTGTACCTCCAAAAGAAATGCTGGCAATAACACTGAGGTAAGTGATTAAGGAAATTCTTTATTTGCATTTAAAGTAACATAACATATAAAAATTCTTACATAAACTTATCTTTGACAATAAAAATAATTCATACACTATTTTGGCAATGTTGTGAAACATCTTGTGAGGTGCTACTTGTTGATATATATGACCCTTCTTGAAAAAACGACTGATAGTTTGTCGTTGATGGGTTTGCTCATTGTAGAATAGTATATGACGGAGATGAGACTGCAGAGAAATCAGACACAGGAGAAGTAGAAAAGGTGATGCTAGAGGTGCTTATGTGACGATTTCGTTTAATTTTTTGAATTAGCTGCAGTACTCCCATCCTAAACTCAATTTTTTCCTCTTCTGACATTGTTGTTATCATAGGAACAACGGAATTGAAGAATGACTCATCTTCATTGGAAGGTTCATTTAGTTTTTTCCTAATTTCCAATTCAATGGGGTCTGCAAGCCTCTTGCGGCCTTGGCGAGTTTTACTTGCATGGGAACTTCTTGAACTGGCTTTAGATATTGCTGGTGTAGGTGGGACCTCATTTCAATTTTCAGTTTCTTCTCCTTGGTGCACTTCCTCATCCGAAATACTAGAGATCGTTTCATCTTTATTCATAACTTGTAACAAAAATTGCAGCTGATCATGGTAAACATATTTTCGTTGTGCACCCTGTCCACTCTTTTTCTTAAGGGATCTAACAAACGCATCTCTTATATTTTGCCACTTTGTTGTAATAGCGTCACCTGAAATAGATGGTATACATAGATATTTTTTCAGATATTTGGCAAGTGGAAACACGTTCACGGATATGCATTATGCCTACAGATTAGGAGTTTCAACCATAAGCAAGATTATAAAAGATGTTTGGCATAGTATTTGGAATATTTTGAAAGATGAATATCTTCCAACTCCAACAGTAGAAAATTGGAAGGACATTGCTGATGGATTTACAAGAAATGCTCAGTTTCCGCACTGCATAGGAGCTGTGGACGGGAAACACGTCCGCATTATGAAGTTTCCAGGCAGTGGATCGATGAATTTGAATTATAAACATTTTTTTTCGATAGTCCTAATGGCTATTGCGGATTCTAATTACCGCTTTATATACGTAGACATAGGTGCCTTTGGTAAGGATTGCGACTCATCAGTATTTAAAGAAACCGTGTTTTGGAAATTATTACAACAAAATGCCTTGAATATTCCCCACCCAAGCCCCCTAATTTCAACAGGAGACAATCTACCATTCGTCTTAGTTGGAGACGAAGCATTTGCACTTTCCTAGAATTTACTTAGGCCATATGGGGGCCATAGTTTAAATATTAATAAAAGAATTTTCAATTATCGCTTATGTCGAGCGCGACGGTACATAGAATGTTCGTTCGGTATATTAGTGAATAAGTGGCGAATATTTCACAGAGCCATAAATGTTGGTAAGGAGTACGCAAAAGATATTGTTAAAGCGTGCATAATTTTGCACAACCTAGTTCGAGAAAAAGATGGCACTCGTGTAGAAGATATGTACGCACCAGACAGAGAGCTACAAAATCTACCACCAACTACAGCATGTCGCGGTGGACGAGCTGCCAATGATGTTCGCGATAAATTTGCAGAATTCTTTGTAAGTCCAGAGGGATCCTTACCATGGCAAATGTCTAAAATTTAGCGCATAAGTTACTGCTTCTGGTTCTATTTAATGTCTTTATACTTAGATATTACTTTTACATTTAGGCAAGTGCTCTTTAAGTTTAAAGCTCAAATAGGTACATATGTAGGTACTAACCTAGATCTGTAACGTAGGCTGTAAATGTGAATAAATACAGGTAAAAACATGCACTTACCAATTTTTTGCTGTTCTTGTTCATTTAAATTATCGAAATTGGCTTCAAGGTATTTATGCACTTCTTTCCACTCACGTTTTTTCAATATCTTGTCTTTGTAAGTCTCGGAAAATTTATTCCACAAACAGGGCCTTGCTTCCACCAATTCAATGAGTGTAACAATGTCGTAATTAAATTTAGTCACACTCATATTAAGTATAACCCGTGTTCCAGCAACCAGTCAATACGCCAAACTACTCGTGCGACACTGAGTTTCAAAAGTGATATGACACACCGATAACGACAAGTCGGAACGTGTGAATGTGCCTATTTAGTTTGCATTGCGTACTAAACCGGGCGATAATTTACTGGCCGATTTTAACTCGACCATCCGACAGACGCAACGATATCGAACACGGCCACCGATATATTTATCGGGTCGGTTTTTGTGTAAAACTATTCATTTAAGGCAATGTATTTGTTAGGCAAACCGATACCGATACCGATAACGACACCGATAATATCGGTGTGTGTGAAACCGCGCTTATTCGTGATTTTTTACTCAGTCTCGTTAAATATAACAGTGATTTTTACAACCACGCTATTGGTAAGCATAGCTCATCTGTTTAGCCTATGTAACCAAACCATTGACGTATCACTATAGTTTCAATTAATCAAACTATTCTGCAAAATGTCTAACAAGCAGTGCAAAATCTGCGATAATATAGTAAATCGCAAAAACCCACGTCTTCAGTGCGATGGTTTTTGCGGCCGTTTTTATCACGGATCCTGTTTAGATATTAGCAGCAAACAAATGGATAGTTTGCGAGCCGAGGGTGTCACTTGGAAATGTAGCGATTGCAGAGAAAGCAGAGGCGACTCGGCGCGCCGGTCCATGGGTACATTGGGTACGCCGATGCAACTACCTATCTCATCATTTGCTTTAAGCTCAGGCAGCACTGGTGGCATCGGAACAAGTGATACGCTTATTACGTCGATGCAGGAGATTAAAATGGAAATTAGGCAAATGCGGGAACAACAAATGGCATTAATTAATTCAGTTACATTTTGCAGTGAAAAAGTAACCGATTTTGAACTCAAACTGTCAAAAATCGATGAATATATAAAGAAAACAGAAAAATTAGTGAAAATGCTACCTTGAAAGCTGAGGTGTCAAACCTTCAAACAAAAATCAATAGTCTTGAACAGGTTTCTAGACAAAAAAACTTTGAAATTCAAGGGATACCAGAAAAACAAAATGAAAATCTTACAGAAGTGATAAAAAAATAGGAGATTACATTGGCTATAAAATCGATGCCGACAAAATAGAATATATCCATCGAGTTCAAATAAATAAAAACTCTAAATCAAAAATCAAGAACATAATTGCTCGTTTTGTCTCCCGTGCGGAAAGAGATAATATCTTGGCTGCTGCAAAAGCAAAACGAATGCAAAGGAGTAATGGATCGCCAAAAATGTGTATTCAGGGAGTGTCTGATGAATTCTATGTCAATGAGCACCTCACAATGCAAAATAAGTTGATCTATAAAGAAGCAAGAAGGTTAGCTAAACTGAAACAATACAAATATGTCTGGACGAAAAACGGCGAGATCTTTGCAAGAAAGGAAGATACCTCAGGTGTCATTATTGTGAAAGACACTGAGGGTTTAAAAAATATCAAATAAGCCGTCAACAAAGTAAGTAGAAAATACCTATCTACGTTAAGATGGATAACAAATGTCAGGACCTAATCATCTACTACCAAAATACAAGAGGACTACGATCTAAAACAACGGAGTTCTTTAATAATGTTCGTGCAAGTGATTATGACATAATATGCCTGACAGAGACGTGGCTCAAAGATGGTGTATGCAGCAGCGAATTATTTGGAGCGGATTACACAGTATTTAGAAGAGATGTTCACAAAAAAGTGATGGTGGTGATGTGTTAATCGCGGTAAAAAATGTCTTCAACTCAAAACGCTGTTGTGAACTCGAATCTGATGCTGAAGATCTTTGGGTATCAATTGAACATATCAACGGTACCAAATTATTTATAAGCTGTATATATTTACCACCTAAGGATAGCATTTCATATGCCTCAGTTGTAAGCAAATTATACCAGAATGAAGGTTTTTTTCGACAAAATACGGTGTTGTTGGTTGGTGACTTTAATCTTCCAAGTGTCAATTGGCAACCAGTACTTAATGAACATTTTATGGAGCCACTTAATGTTGAAGAGAAAACGAGTGCCTTACTTGACATATTGTCGTATCTACAGTTAATGCAATTTAATAAAATTTACAATTCAAATAACCGTTTATTAGACTTGATACTTAGTAACGAATCTTCAATATATAATATTTCGAATTCGGTTGACATATTGGTTCCTGAGGATAATCACCATCCTGCAATTACATTTTGTTTTAAGCATGTTTTACTTAAGCCATTAATGCACCAGAGCCGATGCCTTTACAACTTTAATAAAGCTGACTATACTTCCATAAATAATACTCTTTTAGACATAGAATGGGAAAAATTATTTAGTACCAAATCTGTAGATGGAGCTGTAGCCATATTCTATAACATACTCAATGAAACTATTCACAAATTTACACCAACATATAAAATTCGAGGAAAATACCCAATATACTTTAAACTTGAAACAATACAAACAGTTGAGAGAAAAAATAAGTATCATAGACTATACAAACGTTTTAATGATCCATACTCATATCAGATATTCTGTGACCTTAGAGCCAAATCAAAAATCTTAATTAAGGATGGATGAATACATAACAATGATGGAAAACAATATATTGAACGACAGCCGATACTTTTGAAAATACGTTTCAAGTAAGAAAAAATGTCATGTCTCTATACCTAGTTCTATAAATCATTCAAACTATGAAGTTAAAACCGGAAGTGGGGTGTGTAATGCCTTTGCTGATTTCTTTGCAAGTGTATATGTTAAATTTAAACATTTTTATTTAAACAAGGATGCTAGTCCTATTGATGTTACCTTAATATCCATTGAAAAAATATATCAACAAATAGTGTCCTTAGAAATTAAAAAATCAGTAGGCCCTGACGGCATACCTTCTGTATTTATAAAAAACTGTTCCGCTAGCTTATGTTTACCACTTCACCTAATTTTCAAACTATCATTAACTCAAAGAGTCTTTCCAACGAGATGGAAAGAAGGTGAAATATTGCCTATTCATAAAGGAGGCGATAGACATCTTGTGGAAAATTATCGACCTATCACTAAACTTTGTATTTTCTCAAAAATTTTTGAAAGGCTGATTTATGATGCTATCTTAAACATTACAAAAAATATCATTACGGAACACCAGCATGGATTTTTCCCTAAAAGATCTGTAGAGACGAATTTGATGAGTTTTATAGAATATGCCTCTCACGCAATAGATGAGAAACTGCAGGTGGATGTTATTTATACCGACTTCAGTAAGGCTTTCGACAAGATTGATCATTCTATCTTGATGGAGAGACTTGCTGAGGTGGGTGTAGATGGTCCATTATGGCAGTGGCTAGCATCGTATATAAGTAATCGTAAACAAGTGGTGACTATCAATGGGTATCGTTCGGAGACATTCTTAGTAACTTCAGGAGTACCACAAGGTAGTCACTTAGGACCATTGTTATTTAACATATACATGAACAACCTTACTTCTGTTTTTCATTTCAGTAAATATTTGTTATATGCTGATGATCTAAAGACATTTACTATTGTTAGAAATGTAAATGACGGTGTAAAACTTCAAAGCGATTTGGAATCTCTGCAAAAGTATTACACTGAAAACAGTATCTTCCTGAATTTAACAAAATGTCATTACATGAGGCTTACTAGAAACATAGCGAACACTATAGATTTCAGATATAAGATAGGGACGGCAGAACTGGAAAAGCTTCATATAGTAAAAGACCTAGGGGTATACATTGATGAGAAACTCTCATTCATCACCCACGTAGAGCACATCGTAAATGATGCAAATAGAACACTAGGGTTCATAAACAGGACATGCAGAGAATTTACGAACCCAAAAGCGCTTCTTTCATTGTACTACGCTTATATACACAACAAACTGATGTTTGCATCAGTAATATGGAATCCGTCTTACAATGTACATATAGTCAGGATAGAAAGAATTCAACACAAATTTTTGAAGATGTTAGCACATACAACTCGCCAACCTGTTACAGATTATCATTATACACAAATTATGAAACAGTTCAATATGATTTCCTTAAAAGATAGAAGAACGATTTCTGACATTTGCTGTGTCCATAAATTGTTGAATGGCCTCATTGACTGTCCGGATCTTTTGGCAAACTTGAACTTTAACACTCCTGATAGAACGTTTAGAACCTATCATCTGTTTAGAATACCGTTCCGTAGAACCAATCGTGGTCTTAATTCCCCTTTGGTCAGGGCTCAAAAAAATCATAATAATTTCTGTAATATAGATTTATTCAACATTAGCTTGACCTCCCTGAAAAAGGCTTTAAAGTATGAGTATTACAGCTCTATGGCAGACTAAAATAGAAATGTTTTATTTTTTTACATAACTCAAGTTATCACCTTCAATATCATTTCTGGTATAATTTCAATTTAATTTTGATTTCAGTTTTAATTAAACGTAAGTAAATATTAAATTATGTATACTCCTTTTATTAAAAAAGTTAAATTAATAGTTTATTGCTTATAATTAGAACTACTCACTCAGTTTATCTTGTTACAACAATATCGGAGGATAAAAAAATATTAATATTGAAGTATTCAATAATGTAATATTAGTTTTAGTTCACTGAGGTTCTTAATAATTTTTGATGCGTAATACTATCGAATGCTTTGGCCAAGTCTACACAAAGGCATACTGTTGATTATTATCAACGTACTTGTAAATTTTGGTTGTTAACTGAATAAGTACATCTTGAGTTGATTTTGCTTCCTGGAATCCATATTGTTCTTCAGATATCAGGTTGTATTTTGCAATAAAATCTGAAAAGCGTTTTTTAAGAATTTTTTCAAATATTTTTTAAAAGTTTTTCAATACTGAAATTGGACGATAGTTACAAAGTTTCTGTTTATCTCCAGATTTAAATACAGGTTTTATTATTGCCTTCTTTAATTGGGTCGGGAACATGCCTCTTTCAATGCAGGTGTTAATAAGATATGCTAATACTTTATAAATTTTATAATTTATTTGTTTCAGTGTATGCGGTTATATTATCAAAACCCGGTGATTTCTTAACTTTCAGTCCCTTTATGATATGTTCAATTTCGTAGTCATCGGTCTATGTCAGATACAGGGAATTTTGCAATATGGTTGTCGTATATATAAGTTGTGTTCCATTTGAATTGTCTTTTGCCAGATTCTTACCAATTTCAGAAAAATATTTAAAAAATTTATTGCCTGTTTCGACATCGCTTTTTGCAAGTCCGTCATTTTCTTTTTGTACAGCGGTAATTTCTTGGCATTTTTGAGAATGTTGCATTTTTCTATGAAATGCCACATTTTGGTCGAAGAATTTTGCAGTTTGCCAACTTAATTTTTCAAAATTTTTAATTTAGCCTCTTTTATAATTGTGGTGAATTTATATTCATTTAGAAGTTCTAAATCGTGTGGAAATTTTTTTGTTTGTCTATACATCTTAATTTTTCTGTTAACGGATGTTATAATTCGATATCCATGGCTGCCTTTTAATATTCTTTCATCAGATTTGTACATGAATTTATATTTTGTTGAAGCTGTAAGGTAAAAAGATCAAATGCCGTTTCCGGATCATCTTGATTATATATCTCTGACCAGTTTTCATCAGATAGCTTACAGTTCAACTTACTACAATCTATGTATATTTTTATGCTAGACTGCGTTCTTTTTAATTTAGGTACTGTGTCTTTATATTGAATTCTTAGCGTGGTGAGGAAGTGATCCAAAATTGTATATCTCAAAACCGCTGAGAAGAAGTTCTCACTATTTATGGAGGTATCTATGAACATAATATAACAACTCGCTCTCCGTCAACTCTTGTTACTTCATTAATGGCGGATAGGTATCCCTGTCCTGCCATCATGTTACGGTATTCGAGGGAATGTTTACCGTTTTGGTCTAGAATATTGATATTTAGATCTCCTACTATTAATTATGAAGTTCTTCATTAAATGATGTGGTGAGTATAGATGGTAACTTGTATATTCCAGTGATTTGTATTTTATGGTTGTCTTTGTGCACGATAACCTTCAATAATTTTGTTTCATTTAGATATTCAAGTTCAGAATTACTAATTACGTTCTGTTTTATATGTGAAAACCCCATCACTTTTATTCAAATCCCCCTCGTTATAATATTGATGGTAATTTGGAATTTGGATTAAATTGGTGTCATATATTCTAAATGTTTCTGTTAGTACCAGTACATCAAAACAATAATTTAGTGTTTCCAACAGCACCTGAAGTTCATCTAAATGTTTATGAACACTCCTTATGTATGTATGGAATATATTTAGGTTTGATGTGGTATCACTAGATAAATATAATTTTGTTGTAGGCAAGTCGTTCAAAATATTTGTTTTAATTACTTCTGGATTGAAATATTTCACGCATGTATCCATAGTTCTCTCAATAAGTTTTTTGTCTACATAGAAAGTTCAATTATAATTTGTTTTACTTTTAATATAGTTAAAATATTTTTCATGAATAGGACAAGATTTGTCGTTAGCATTATGATGAACATCGTATGTGTGGTAGAACGACTTTTATTTGATTGTATACAATTTATTCAACTGACTAGGTCACTTTTACAATCATTGATAAAATGATAAGGTACCTGCACATTTCTGACATACATTGTTATCATATTTACAATTATTTGCATAGTGCCCAAATCCTTGGGTCTTTTTCATCCGGGTTATTAAGGGAAATTATATT